CCACATTTGCTTATGCACCCATTTGTCTTCAGTGATCCATTCGACACCCCGTGATCACACAGGTTGATATGTTGGAATGGGTGGTTTCTTAAGCAGGGCTTCCTTCAGATCCCATGCCATGCAAGCTTTGAGAGGTACAGATGGTGGGGTGTCAACAATTGGGGTATAGTCACATAGGTGGGCGCACTCTCGCCCACACCCACTGGAGCCACACGAGTGTACAGATTCAGAAGTTTGCGGCTTTGGGGAAGGGGTGCATGGCATGTTCCAGAACATTCCCAGTGGGGTCAGGCTGGTGCTCCACAGCAAACCCTTCCTGTTTCTGGATGTTCCTGTGGAATTGAGATAGGGCATAAGTAGCCTCCCATCCAGATGGCCAGATGTTACTGACAACGTGACAGGGAAACCCCCCTCTGTTTCTAGGGATCGTTTGATTTGGGAATTATAGATTAGGGATTGAGGGCCAGTATAGCCCTTAATAGGGGAGTAAGATGACGCTCTACTCCCTCCCGTAAAGAGTTCGTCTCAGAAACCACAGGGGCAGTTCTACTCCCACTTACAGGGTCACTGTGAGCCAATAATGACTCAGTGGTAGTGAATGATGCCTAATAAGCCCTGGCAGTGCTGGGGACAGACGTTAGACCACTAACTGCAAGGCCGGTGGTTCAAATCCACCAGCAGCTTTGAGTTGGACTTAACTCAATGGCAGTTGGTTATTAGCTAGGCACTCTGGAGTTATCCTGGGCTAAGGAATAGGCTGCTAACCCACGATAGGCTGTGTCATCATCTCAAACACTCCCCCCTGCCAATCATGCTGAGGTAGAGACATGAGCCCATCTGTGCTCATGAGATTTAAAGCTTTGGAAACCCAAAGGGAGTGTTCTACTCTGTCCTGTGGGTCCTTGTGAGTCAGAATCGACTCAGTGGTCGTGGGATTTGGTTTGGGGGTATCCCTGATGCCTTTTTGGGTATATCGCCCATATTTCTTACAACTTTAAAAAGTAAAGATAAATGCAAGACATGAACCTTCTGGAAAATACAGAGAAGTATAAAGAAATCAGGCCCCATTACCCCTTGCTCAGATGAGCCCTCCCCTCTCCACATATGGACGCGGGGTGTCTTTCCTTCTGGCTCCTGGTTTCACTGTCTCCACTGTATTTTTTACTTTTGGAATCATTTAGACTTGATGGCAAGTTGCAAAGACATCCCCGAGTTCTCACCCACCCTTCTCCCACTTCTCCTGGGGCAGCGCCTCCCAATGCGACACCGCTGCTCAGGCCTGAGAGGACACAGTGCATGGCCAGTAGCCACATACCAGGCCTGACCGGGACTCGGCCTCTCTCTCCTTTCCCTGTCTCAGGCTCCAGTCCAACATCCCACGTCACCGTCACCGTCAGCCTGTTTGCATGGCTCGGAAGCTTTGTGACTTTGTTTGTTGGTTGGTATCTCAGAGTCCTCTGACAAACGCCTATAAGCCCAGGGCATTCTGTTTGGATCTAAGGGACCTTGGGTCCCTCCCCCCACACTTGCTTCTCTGCAGGTCCCTCTGGTAGAGGTCCCTCTTGCTCTGTGTTTGGGGTGGGCGGAACCGTTTTTTGGCAATCTATGTTAACGAGTCTGCCTGCAGAATGGAAGGGAATGCTTCCGGAAGGGGTCGTTCACTGGGCCCACAAGAAACTAAAACCAAACTTCCTGCCCTGGAGTCAAGGCTGACCCCATAGGACAGGGTGGTTTCTAACATATGGCCTTGCAGTGAATAGCTCAAGACATAACCCCCACGACACCAGGCTCCAGTTCCTCGAGGGACAGAGAGAGGTTCTTGGGAAGGGTGTCCCACAGAGGGAGCAGCACAAATAAATGGGCATCCCAGGATGAGGAGCAGTGAACGACCCCTTCCAGAAGCTGGGAGAGAGCTGCAGGGCAGGCCAGTGTGGACTCGGCCTCGGAGCCTGGGGGCCGCCGCAGAAGCCACAGTGGCTTTGGAGTGGAGGTGGGGGAAATGGTATGGTGGGGCTGGGGCACAGTCTGAATCGCAGCCCTCTGGGGTTGGCCGTAGCACCCCGTCTCTGTACAGAGGGAGCCCCACTGGCCGAGGGCTGGCAGAAGGCTTGCTCAACGTTGTTTCTTAGATTCGTGGCAGCGTTGGTGGTTTC